ATGTCATTGGGGTCAATGGGATCAATGGACTCCATGCTGGAATCCATTGCTATTTGTGTATAATCATCCTGGAGTAGATAGAAACCGGGGTTGGTACGGGGTAATGTTCTTTGGCTCAAAAAAAGGCATTTGGGACACGAAAACTAAATATGAAAGAATGATCCATAGATAGAATGTTGGGCCCGCACATGTAGTTCTCGAGGATGTTATCAACTTAATTGGTGTCCTGGTTTCTCTCTCTTCGATCTTCCTTTTCCTGCTTCTCCCTGTTCCATCTCCAGTTCCTGTTTCTCCTCTTCCTGCTCCTTTTTCTCTTTCTTTGGTTGCCCTTTTCCACATTAAATTGGGTTATGCCATATTATGCAGTTACCAGTGCTAGTATACGTTTTATTGCATCGGCTCGCTGAAAAGCAGCCGAGCACTTCTTGAGGATGTCGCACCGTGAACCATGGCACACTGGGCGGTTGGTAAGACCCATAGATGGAATCTTGATAAAATGTGTGTTACTGTTACTAAATCTGCCGTTCATATCTTCATCAGAAATTGAGGTCACATGTTGTTGAAAACAATCCTTCGCCTATTCTATCCATATTCTATCTATGTTTTGGCCTTGGCCATTGGCTTTATTGACCTATTTGTTCGAAAATGATGACATTCTATCTACTCCAGCATGATTATAATAACTATAAGTCTATCTTTGGGTCTACATGGGCTAGATGAGTGTCTTCGTTTCTTCCACACATCCCAGCTAGATACTTTTGTGCATGTTGGATGTCGGGTACTTAAGGATCGACGACCTGTCAAGACAAGCAGGGGTGGGGGAGAGTCTGTTTCATGGCCTGAAAACGCACCGCAGAAACAAGAAACCATCGCTGTCAATGGTGACCTGTTTTCATGACAACTTCCTTTCCACGGAGGCTTTTTGACACAAGGCTAAACAAGCCCAACAGGTCGTTGTGAGAAAATTCGGATTGAGATTGGTTCACGCTTCACGCGCAGTTCGTGCACAAATGTGCCATCCCAATAATATATGCCCAAATGGATGTTGCTGAACCTGAAGGCCCCCTAGAAGAATAGATTGTTCACATTCTTCACATGGTGTTGCGATCCCGGGCGCTGGCCGGGATTCATCTAAGCCAAATGGTTCTCCTGGCACTGCTTCAGCATGTCTTCAGTCCTCTAACTAACCAGAGAATTGACGACCGCCTCTTCCCCCAAACCACCCCGTCCCCTGACTTAACTCACCAAACTTTCACTCAATCCCGCCTGAGGCCAGGAGCATCTTCGACGGCACCTGCTGCAAGATGAAGCCCCATAACCCCGCCGAGGCCGTGATGCCGATCCTCAGCGCCGCACGGCGTCGGCAACGCGCACGGCGGCACCGTGGTGAGCAGCGTGGGGCCGCGCGCACAGGGCGTCGGCGGCCAGGGAGGCGGGAGGCGTAGTTCATAGGTGGGGTGGGCGAGGTCATAAGAGGATCTAGGTGGATCCCAGGCAGCCACTATAGTGAGGAACCAGGATGAAAGCACTGGTGGCCTACTAGAGTGGTTTGCCTGCATGCCCTGGAAAAAGAAGGGACTTCAGTGGAATTCTGTGGCCTGGAGAGATCAAGCCAGTACCACTTGGCGCGAAACGAAGAGCGGAGTTTTCGTCTCTAGCTGAGGCCACTCATTTGGGCCACGCCTAGTTTGTTAAAGATCAACTTCCGGAACTTCCACTCCCCGCAAAATCATCACCAACTGCCACTGAGCCAAAATCTGAACCAGGTCCGATCAAAAAACTGTGGGATTGACATCCCAGCATGGGGCCCCTTCTTTGTTCATGGTCATTACGAGAAATAGCATGAAATACACGCGTGGGGGAGTATAGGGCCGACTCCTTCAGGACCTCTAGGACCTCTAGGCATCAGGATGTGCTCCACCAACCGCGCACGTCTCACAGCCACGCCACTTGTCCATGGCCCCCAACAAGCCGATCCCCGTGGGTGTCCAGTTCCCTTCCTGCCCGACTCGGAGGCTGGATGCATCGGACGGGTTGGCTGTGGGGAGTTGAGTACTTGGTGTAGTGAATCCTGATGGAACAGCTGCATCCTGAAGGAACAGTTCTTATCTTCAAGGAAAAAGCCGGCCCTCACTTGGTGTAGTTTCTCTGTGGCTTGAGGCTGCGAAAGTCGCAAGCTCACAGGATCAACACTGCTACCAGCAAGAACCAATCAAATGGCCCTGTCACAACTCAAACAATTAGAGTGCGTGTGTGTTTATGTATATCTGTGTGTAACCCTTGGAGTGTCACAGGGATGCTGATGGATTTGCCTTGTTTTTTCAGCAGGGGGCCACCGGGGTCCCAGAGGAGCGGTGGCCAACAAAGACCTCCTCTGGGACCCGTGTAAGAGTACCTGCCAAACTGGTTGCCTGTTGTTCTCGCTGTGGTTTGCTTTCATGGTGGTTCATGTATGCAATGTATGTGGTTCTGTTACTAACCGCAACCCGCGTTTCGTGCTTTACCTTTCACCTGATTTCTTAGGCGTTCATACCTAGGTGGGCGTGTGGCAAGTGGCATTCAGATCCGTACGCATTTCTATAAGTGTGTGTGGCTTCATGCCAGCCCAGGGTGACCCCGAGGAGTGGCCCCTGTGGACCCGTTGAACGGGGGTTTGTCGAACGTACCGCTCGCAGCGAGCGTAGGTGGCTTAAGCCAAAGTCATTTGTAAAGACTTGACGGATTATTGAATTCTAAGCTGGCCGCCTTCGGGCATGCCGTTAGGTGACCACAGCGGTCAGAGCAGCCAGCCATTTTGGCACGGCGTACGTGGCCGCAGCGGCCGAAGTCATTCAAGGCTTATTGGAGCCTGTCGAGACCTTAACCCCCTTCCTCCCCCTACCCTCCCCCTCTTCTCTCTTTGCTTTTTGGGGCATTCCTGAGTGTAACACTCACATACACCCCTCCCCTTGGTGTGTCTCTGGACGCTTGCTCCTAGCTGGAAACACCTGTCCACATCCTTTTCTTTCCTCCTCTTTTCTTTCTTTCCCCTTCCTTCTTGCTTGGGTGTCCCTGGATGCCTTCGTCATAGCTGGGAACCCTTTTCTTCCTTTCTTGGTGTGTCCTTGGACGCTTGTGAGCTGGGAACGCCGTCATCTTCTCCTTCTTCTCTCTTTTCTCTCCCTACCCCTCCCTTCCTCGTGCGCAGTATATTCAAACGAGGTCTTTGCAACAGGTCCCCGATGAGGCTTGGCTTTCATCTGTTTCTGTCCCCTTCATTTGGCTCCCCTTTTTTCATCGTGCTTCCCCTTCACACACCCTTTCTCTCCTCTTTTCTTTCACGTCTCCCTGTCTTCATCTTTACAATGAGGTGGGATTCATCGGTTGTCCCTGTGCACTTGGTTCCCTTTCATCGCAACCGCGCGCACTTTTGTCCTGTCTTGTCCTCTCTTCATGTCTTCATCTTTTTGTCTTTGCTGCGCGCACACGTGCACATTCGTCCTAACCTTAGTTTGTCTCGCCTCCCCTCGGGGAGGCGTGTGTGTGTAACCCTCGCTGTGTTTTTGCTTTCATGGTGGTTCATGTATGCAATGTATGTGGTTCTGTTACTAACCGCAACCACGTTTCGTGTTTTATCTTTCACCTGATTTCTTAGGCGTTCATACCTAGGTGGGCGTGTGGCAAGTGGCATTCAGATCCGTACGCATTTCTATAAGTGTGTGTAATTTACTCTCTAATGTTTCTAGCGCTCCCTTCACCCATCACGACCTCCCTCATGCCATAGGGCGGCGCCTTCTGAATGGTGTCCACGGTGGCGGCGGTGGCGCCGCCGTTGTAAGCCATGAATGTGGGCACACCCATGCCTCAGGAACTGAAAGTGGGAATTAAATCTTCCGGATTTGCTGAGTTTTTTTTGCCACACCAATCAGCAGAGGCAGCACCAGTTGACTGGATGATGTGGACCAAAGTCTGACAGTCTCCAGTGGCGAAAGTTGTAGATGCTCATAGTTCAAGACCATCAGATTACAGGCACTGGCACCTATCTATTGCTTTGGAACAGCATCTGCTTGCGCAAGGCATGGCTAACATCAAGGCATCAATCTGGATCCAAGCAAATCCAAGGCACAAAAAAGCCAAAAAATGACCTCTCTAGTGAAAATCTCCATGGCACAGCACCAGAAATCACGGAAACCGTGCCGTGCTCGCCGTTTTTGCTAGGCGGACCGCCCGTGGTCGTGGTTACTTTTGGGGGAGGTTGCTCTGGAAGTTGCTTGGAAAATGTGGCCTTGGTCAGTCACTCATGCCTGGAGCCAAAGCCTTGCAAGTTGAAGATGGGTTGTGCATTTACGGTGCGGTTTGATGTTCAGGCTTAACGGTTTGAAGAGGTTGGTGATGCATTGACCGAAAACGTGGTTCCCTTTCAAACTCTACCATAGTACCAGCCTCCACCACCTAGTAGAATCACTAGAAGTCTGAGGACAGACTTTGGGCTGAGATCCAGCCATGTGGCCATGATCATAGATTGGCACCGCTCCTGGCACCACCATTCCCCACCGGAAACAGGTTGAAATCCCACGAAAAAAAAGCGTCTTCGCTCGGCAGGTGCAATCTGTCCGGCCTGAGCCGCCACCGCCAGACCTGGGACCGAACCCATCCAAACCCGCCGCTGGTGGCGTGGCCCGAAGGGCTTCCGAAAACATGAGGTTTGGAGGAAACCGTGTGCTCTTGATACATCCAAAGCTTCTACAGATCCTACAGGTCTGGGGTTTGTGTTGGTATGGTCTCCAATCTGTTCACCCTGACATCTGTGTAAAGGCTGCTCCATGCACAATGGTCGCTGTGGTGATCCCCCCAGACTGTCAGAGCTCCACCAGGTTCACAGCTCCTTCGAGAGATCCACCTCCGCACCCCCCTCCCCAGACCATCCGTGCATGGCATATTTACATCCATTGACCCCTGATCAACCACCCCAGTCTACGCAAATATGCCAGTCCCATGGATGGTCTCACCCCAGCGAAGCCTTTTTGGGCGCCGGGGGCGATGTCGTGGCGGTCTGGCATCCATCCGAAAAGGCCAAAAAGGCCTCGGAGATTCTCGGAGCTTACTTCAGCTTCTTCTTGGGTCGCAGCTGGTTGGAATGTCCACACTTCTTCTTGCGGCAGTTCACCGCCCTGCGAGCATCGCGCGAGCATCGGGGCTTGCAGTTCGTTCAGCGCGCAACTGCAGGCGAGTTTGGGTTCCAAAGCTGCAGCGACTTCGATGGCCAGAAGCCTCAGATCCTTAACATTCCTTAACCACCTTTTGGATGGCCTCGAGTCTCAGACATCTTTTGCTCACCCGCGAACAAAAGAAGCTGTTTGGAACGGCGGCCACCGGCCCCGTGACCTCTCCCGGTCTCATGCGTGACCTCTCCCCGCTTACTCCTAGAAGGACCTCGAAAACTCTCGGAAAAACGACCTGCCGGGTCGGTGGTTCTGCCCAAGAAGAATCCGAAAGGATCCAAAAGGGTTCAGGCCGCGCAAGCGCGGCTCACCTCACAAACCAAGCCCCGGTGTCAGAGGCCGGAGGCACAGCAACGCTCCGGAAACCAACAAAAGGCGGAGAAGCTTCCTCTCAACATGGCACAAGAGAAAAAGAGAAGTCTTTGAGAAAGGCCAAAAAAGTCAGGTTCATCCAGTCGGCACCAGAGAAATCAATAGAAAGAATGAGACCCAGCAGCCCGTGCGTCTCACCCATCTCACCGGGCCGGCCGACCGGCCTGGCATGCAGCCTCGCGTAGCACTTCCGGCAAATCATCTTCTCGCAGTTGAACTTTCGGGCCAACCTGGGCTGGGTCGGCGGGTCGGCGGGTCGGCGGGTCCGGGTTGGACGGTCACTTCAAGGTGCCCCACATGAATAAGAGACCAAGGCAACAGTTCATAAGCGTTGCCCCCACGATAGGGTTTCACTTCATCTGTTCACAGGGCATACATTATCATAATCATTATACACCATGTCTTTGCCGATTCCACGATAGGGGCACCCAACCAAAGAGCAATCAGTCACAAAACATGGTTTGAGGGGGGCACACGTTCTGCCCAACCATCCCTTGTTTCAGCCTGTGGACAGGTCCCAATCAGCGAGCATCCGAAAAAAAGAAATGCCCCCAAAACGGAATCCAAGTGAAAACCCTACGCTGTCATCAGAAAGGAGACCTGTGACCTGTGACATGACTAAACGGCACTATAGATTAACTTTTAACATACTCAATACGATAAACTTCAATAAACACATGCAAAGCACCCTCCTTCCAGCAGCACCCAACAACGGCCCGCCCCCGAAATGGGGCCCTCCCCCAAAACGCCTCATCACACCTCATCTCATCCCGCCCCCCCCGCCAGGCAGCACAGCCAAGGAGGGCTCGATCACGCCCCCGCGCAGGCGCAGCACCAAGTGGAGTGTGGACTCCTGGCGCCGTCCGCAGCGGGCCGCCCGCAGCGGGCCGCGTCCGCTCGTCGGGGTGTCCGCTCGTCGGACAGCGGAGTGCAGGACCCATCAGAGGAGCGCGGGAGGGTGTCGAACATGCGTGCGTTGGAAGCTCAGTTCGGTGCCATCTCTTCTGGATGCACTGCTTGGCGTCCATGGAAGCTAAACTTCTATACATGCATAGGTTCGAATAACCTCCTTCCAAGCCGTGGACTCTTTTGTACCCATCCAAGAACTGGCTTCACGGAACATCCACATGGAAACCATGGTTTCACCCCCCACATGTATGGGTGTCCTGTCGCTTTCCCCTGCTTGACCCTGTGGAAAGGTCCGCACCTGGACAGGACTCATATGGACTTCATGACGTTATATAATATAAGTCCAAAACCTAAGAAATCCCATCAACATCTTCAGGAACCGACATACCTCCGAGGACTGTGCGTTACTTTGGGAGAGAACCCTCAGTCCTTCTGGATGTTGTAGTCACTCAACGTGCGGCCATCCTCCAACTGCTTTCCCGCGAAGATCAAGCGCTGCTGGTCGGGTGGGATGCCTCCGAGCGCGAAGCGAAGGCTAAAGCGAAGGCTAAAGGCATGACATATGGGTGTGTGGCTCAAATAGCAGACCTCTCAGTTTGACCCCCTGGACAAAGGAAAATAATAGACTGGTCGTACCCAATATGGATCCATATTGGACATCACCCCACTCACCCGTCGTCTTCGTCTTCCACTGAAAAGCACCACACCACGCCGCGGAGCGGCCTTCCTTGTCTTGAATCTTAGCCTTCACGTTGCCGATGGTATCAGAGGCCTCCACATCCAAGGTGATGGTCTTTCCAGTCAAGGTCTTCACCTCAGAGGCCACAACATCTGTCACGTGAAAATTGAAATGGTCAAGGCCTGCGCCTGTCACACAAGGTTGATCGATTCGACCGAAGCGCCCAACGACCTGCAGGTTTAGGAGAGGAGATGAAGCCACGTCCCATCACAAAACATCGCAAAACCCGGTCAAATGATGTTCATCCATCCGTTTGGGTGTTCTACCAATAGCTGCCGAGCAGCGAAGATCTGCATGACCGCCCAATGTTGCCACGCCGCAACAGACGGCCGCGTCTACGGCCGCACCGGTCGAGAAGACTTGACATTGAGCCGAAAAGCCGCGGCGCGCGACGGGCCGAAGAAGAGGTGGGGGAAGAGTCTTCGGGTTCTCTCGGATTATCGGGGCTCAAGCTCAAGCTCCTCAAGCTCCTCAAGCTCCGTCTGCGTGTGAGTTTTCGCTGACTGCTTGGCATGGTGCCATCCAAGCCACTTTTAGATACTGCCACCCGTGTTTGCAGAACGCAAGCTTCTACATAGATGTTGTTGCTGGTGCATGTGCTTAATTTAATCGTCAACCACTGCTTCTACAGGGGAGCAGATGGTGAAAGAACTGCTCAGCCGACCCCTCTTCCAATGTCACTGTGCTGCCCAGTTGCCAACGAGGAACAAAGGCATTTCCGGATGGAGGCCATGAAAGCCGCATGGTGCACCATGCAGGTAGAAAGTGTCTTTTCAGAAACGTCCATGGTCCTCATCTCACTGTATAAAAGAAAAGTGCCCATCTTGATTCTGGAACCGGGGTCCTTTGAAGACTATCTTCCTCTACTTGCGCAGGAGGCCAGATGGGTTCACCTCCCATCCGACGTCCGCAGAATCGATCTCAACAACCCTCCCTACCCTCCATACCTGAACAAGTAAGTGGACGACAAGACCCCGATGGTGGGAGAAGGGGGTGAACTTGACAGATCCCCAAGCTCCCCCCTAGACGGTTCCTACATGGTCTTGCTGCCTTCCTCCTCATGAGCCCCATGTTCTTGCACTTTCCGTTTGGAAAGGCCCTCCAAATGAAGCAGCGGTGACCGCGCGGCTATGCAGTTTGCAAAGGGACATGGTGGACGTCCCTTTGTGCTTGCGGCTTTGGATGGTGCCGGATACGTCTTCGGATCGTGAACTGGCGCGGAAAGGCCCAGCAACTTCCCAAACAAACCATCCAATTCAACACCGGTCGGCCGGGTGAATTGCGAAAGTGTAGACCTCTCAGTGCAAGCCCCTGAGCTGGATCGAACGTCGTGCGCCTGGGCGCAGAGAGGCTCCCACTTGGGTCATCCACTCCACCTTCTTGGCACCCCACACCGGTGTTTTCAAGTCGCCCCCTCTTTACCCTCTGCCCTATCAAGAACAGTTTTTAGAAGTTCCTGTTGGGAAAACGACCGTGAACCACCCCGAAAGCTTCTGTCCCGTCCCTCTGGGCACACCACGAGCCAGACAGCCTCCGGACACACGTCCGGACGCAGCCGCGCGTTCCCACCAACAGCCTGTTCGAGACTTAGGCTGCCTGCCCTTGGGGGTTCGGGATGGTTTCTTGCCTGCATCCAACTTCTTGACGCCAACGAAAAACCAGCCTCTTCTCTTCCAACTTAGATTCATTCAAACGCTGTCAGAGGCCACAAGTTGTTAAATTCCCATGGCACGACTCATTTTACGTTTGATTGTGTTGAAAGGGTTCACAAGTGGCAATCACTGGACTCTCCTGGCGGGAGGGCCAGGCGAATTTCCGCATTCTAGCCTACAGCTATGTTGTCCAGAACAATGCTTCTCTTGGAAAGAGAAAAATAGAGAGAGACACAAAAATTGAAAAATTGAAAAACAAAACATGAGAAAACGCAAGGAAACACGGACACACACACACACACACATGAGAGCACAAAGATGCAAGAGCACAGGTATGAGCGAGCACACATACGCTAGATAGCACATACTCGAATGCCGAATCTCACAAAGCGTCGCATCGGCCACGCAATCCACACTTCGAGGTTCACAGGTTGCTGCACCTTCCATGTAATCTCCACAGCACCGCCCCTGCCACGAAACAAGCCTTTTGAAGTTCACAAAATGCAGCCGCGAACTCTCCACTTTCAGGTTCACAAAGCGCTGCTAAACGAAATCTGCACTTTGAGCATCACAAAGTGCCGCGCCTGCCACAAAATCTTCGCTTTGCAAAGTGCTGCGCCTGCTATGAAAACTGCGCAGGTTCACAAAGTGCTGCGTTGCTATGAAGTCTGCACTTGACTGTCCATGGAGTGCTCCGCCTGTCGCGAAATTGCACTTCGAGATTCATAAGGTGCCGCGCATGCCGCGAAATCTGCACATGGCAGTCCACAAAGCGCTGCGCTGCCACTAAAAAGTTTCCCATGTTTTGCCCTTGCTTGGCAAAGCTTCCGATGTCCTCTTCAAGCTTGTGTCCAGAGCGGTGCGTTCTTCTGTCATCGAATTAATTCTCTCTCTCCCTCTCTCTCTCTCTGTTTATTCTTTGCTTCTCGTGCGAAATTACCACCGCCTTCCCATCCAGACCAACTTAGACAGGCAATATCATCTGTCATAAGCAAAGTTCTATGGTGAGGTTTTTTTGTGTTCTCGCTCATTGCTTGTAGAACTTCTCATGCCGCAAACAGATTCTAGAAATAATAAATATATTACACAATATATATATATATATAAACACCTTCGTCACAGGCTGCCAATCCAGGACATGGAAAACAAAAGACCTCGGGTCTTGATTGACAAGACCTCGATTTTCATGCGCAAGTGACCGGACTTCTATGGCAAACTCACATGGAACCTGAGAGTTGACCAGTGGTGGAAGACCATTTTCCGAATACCAATCCAGTGGCGGTAGGGGTTCCATGTAACAATTTTCAGGATCATCGAAAACTCATGTTTAACTCAAGAGGTGTCCCACCCTGCTTACACAAAGGTTTCTGTGCCCGGAACGAGCCAAGGGGGGCTTTGACTTGGGCTACTCGGCGGCCTCCCATGCCCATTTCAATGGCCTATTGTATCAGCATGGGACCATTTAAAACAGCCATGTCCCTTTCATTCTTCTCTGTCATGACTCCAAATAATAGACGGACTCCTAGACTCCTGAAAACTCACATCAAACGGCTCCTTTTCTGACTGCACCAGTCGATGCAGTTCGCGTCGCCGTCCGCCTCCCGAGACCTCTCCCGTGGCGCAGCGCCGAGCCGGCGCCCATGGGAGCGTGCGAGCCCTCCGCGCCGAGCGGGTTGCGCCCCCACTGTACCGGGAGGGGGGGGGCGGCTGGGGGAAAACCTCCATTTCTGGATCTCTTTGAAAGCTTCGGCGTCTCGACGTCGGACGCTTTGGAAGATCAGTGTCAGTGGAGCTGAAGGTGTTGAGGAGTCACAGGGGGTGCCGAAGCGGAGGTTGGGTCTGCTGGCTGGGGGCGCCTTCGTGGAGTGGGCTGATGAATCCGGCGGGGTCCTATTGTCGAAGCTTGGTGACCAAAGTGGGACCTTCTACAAGCGTGGGGTTGATGGCGTAGGATTCTACATGTGGGTTTTGTAGGTGCAAGAGCCACTCAAGACACGCTAAGCAAGCCATTTGCCCACATTCCATGCTTGGCAATCAGGTATGAAGAACATGGAATGCACACCCTGGTGGCTGGCCGGCGCATGGAGTGATTGTTTACTGCAAATGTGGCTGTTGTTGCCTCCATCCCATTATGGCCAATCTCATGAACAACCTTCGAGCCAGAATAGCAGGCATCTCACCAATGACAAAAAGAATAAGAACTCGGAGAATTGCAAGTGCTTCAGGCGTTTTTTTGTGCATGTCTGATTAACAAATTTGGTCATACAAGGGTCCCGATCGAATATCTTTCGATCAGTTGCCTATCAAACCTAAGCCTAAGGTTCTCAGCACCTGCGGAATGACCATTAAGCACTCCCCAAGGTTCACATGCACCTGCTCCATCCCATCCAATTGAGGGGGGCCCAGGTGTCGCACGTTCCTCATCTGAATAAACTACATCAACAACTAGATTAATGTCAACGTAGGATTAATCAACCCCTCCCCACCCCCCCCTTCAAGGTCAACAAGGTCAACAAGGTTTTTGATGGAAGGTTTTGGAGGAAGCTTCAGGAGGAAGAGAGCTTGGTAACATTTGGTAACAACTTCACTCGAAAAAATGTCATGGACATCCCTGCTCTTTCCCAATGGAATTCCGGCGGATGTATGTCCACCCCGAACTCAATTACAATACTATTACTATACGTTTACTTCGGGGTGGGAACTCATCCGCCGGCATTCCACTGCGATCCCCTGTGCAATTTCAAGCTTGTACAACAAGCTTGTAGGTGATGTACTCACAAGCTTGTTACCAACTACAACCCTTGTGAGTACAACCCAACTTTGTAGAACAACCCTTGTACTCACAACCCTTGTACCAAGCCAGGTGATTCTTGTTCCCAACTTGTGTAGTGGCTGTCAGCGTCCTGGCCCGGAGGGTGTTGGGGGGGCGCTCCTTTTTGGAAACCCAGCGGTTCCGCCCCCACCCGTTCACCCGGCTGCACAGAAGGCAACCTTTGGTTGTGCCTGTACAAGGGGGCTGCTCCGAAAATCTTGGAAAAATCCAGGCTGTGCGAGCAGTTTTTGTTCATCCTGCACAGCTTTGCTCGGCTTGGCCGTGTCCGTGTGGCGGCGAGGAAGCGCTCATCGCCGTTAAAACAGCTCAGCATGAATTGCGCAGCCCCAATGAAGTGCGAGCACAAGTTATGCCAACATTGAGTGAGACAAAGGATTCTCCGAGCTCTCTGTTCGCTTGGGACTAATTACAGTACTTATATTGCAGTATGTCATATTGTCTATTGGAAAATCAACTTCCATCGACTTTAGACTTTGGTCTCGTTTGATGCCTACGTTGCTTGTCCCATCACGATGGCGGCAAAGGTCAAGTTAAAGGGTCATGTATAAGACCATCAATGGAATCCTTTTTTTGTGCAGAGGTAGGTGGGCAAACAGATCGACAGGCAAGAAGGATAGAGATGCAAACAAACGGATCAATGACCATGCAGCAAAAAGGTGCAGGAAGATCATAAAGGCACATTTGGCACATTTGTCCTTCTCTTCGCTTGAGTGCTTTTGGATGCACTTCAGCTTCAGCTGGCCACTTGCTCGTCTTAGCAGAACTAGGTCCGACTGTGGGGCCTCTGGGGACTGGTGGCACAACTCATACCCCACTTCTTTCAGCCTCTGAAGCCTCTGGAGGTCTTCTCCCACGTCTTCTTTCCTCATGCCTGATTGC